CGGGCGAGGCCGACGGAGGAGTGTGGGGGCGTGGCTGGAGGCGGGGACTAAGGGGAGACGCGCGCCTGGGATCCTGGGCTCCCCGGCCTGGGCAGCTGGGTGGGCCAGCCAGTTAGGAGCGAGGTGGAAGTAGCGAAGGCCCCAGCGGCGCCAGCTCAGTCGTCGGGTGTTGCTAGGCTCTGGAGACACCGAAGCACACAGTCCTGACCCTGGGAAGGCAATGCGAAGATTCACAAGCAGCAGGGAGTGTTGGGGCCGGGCAGCCTGCGCTCTGGGAACCCTGTCGGGGAACTGGTTCTCCGAGAGCAAGTCGAGTCTTTCAGGTAGTGGAAACTACACCGTTTCCTGTACCGTGACAGCGGAGGAAAAAAAGAGAGGTCTTTGAACCGAGGTGGGGGATTTGGGGGGTTTTCTGAGACGGGCTCTCGCTCTGTCGCCCAGGCTTGCGACGCTGGACCTCAGGCAAAGGACAGTAATCCTTGAGAGACAGGAGATAAACCAGGTGAGTCCTGTGATTACCCCAATGGCAGTAAAACAATAAGAAAAAGATATACCAGAAACACCATCATACCATGCTCGCACAAAAGAAAACTGAGTAGACAGATTTTAGGGCAAGGAAATTCCAAACAAAATTAATTTCAGGGGAAAGAATATCACTAAAGATGAATAGGATCGGGTTTCTTTTCTTTTCCAGAGACAGGGTCTCACTCGGTCACTTAGGCTGGAATGCCGTGGTGCAATCGTAGCTCACTGCAGCCTCCAACTCCTGGGCTCAAGGGATCCTCCCGCCTCAGCCTCCCAAGTAGCTGGGACCACACGCGCTCGCCACCACACTCGACTTTTTTTATTTTGCGTAGAGATGGAGTCTCACTTTGTTGCTCACGCTACTCTCAAACTCCTGACTTTAAGCAATCCTCCTGACTTAGCTTCCCAAAGTGCTGGGATTACAGATGTGAGCCACCCACACCTGGCCAAGAGGATTTTTATTATAATAAAGGGGTCAATTCATTAATAGGACATAACAACGTAAACATCTTTGTTCCCATTAACAGAAGCTTAAAATACAGGGAGCAAAGACTGACAGAACAACAACTTCCAATTATATTTGGAAATTTCAAATCCTTCTTTTGATAATTGACAGAACAATTAGACAGGAAAATAGTAAGTACATAAAAGACTTACACACAATCAACCAAATAAATCGAATAGACATTTATAGAAAACTACTCATAACAACAGAATACACATTATTTTCAAGTTTTCACGGAACACTTATCAAAATAAACCATATTATAGGCCATAAAAATATTAAGAGGAATCAAGTCTTATAAAACATATTTTCTAACCACAATGAAATTAAATTAGAAATCAGTATCAGAAATAGGCTGAGGTGAGAGGATCACTTGAGCCCAAGAGTTCCAGACAAGCCTGGGCAAAACAGAAAGATCTCATCTTCAAAAAAGAAAAAAAGCTAGACTAAGAAAATGAAGTAAAACCAAAGAAGAGAAAGAAGATAAGCGCGGCCGGGCGCGGTGGCTCACGCCTGTAATCCCAGCACTTTGGGAGGCCGAGGCGGGCGGATCACAAGGTCAGGAGATCGAGACCGCAGTGAAACCCC